CACCTTACCTAACTGATTCCTCGAGCCATAACAGCTAAACAGTCTGAAGTCACTTTCACTAATGTGAAGAAATGTGATTTACCAACAGCTGAGTGAAACCAGGACCAGAACCAGGACCAGAACCAGGACCATGGATCCATGTCAAACTGATGATCCCAGAGTACTGACTCAGAACACTTCTTACAGGTACAGGATACAGAACTCTACTGTTACAGAGTCAAATATTGATTATTCTGGGATAATGAAAAAGAAATTCTAACTTTCATTAATAAAATATAAATAAAACATATCTATCACTTAGAAAATCAGTAGAACATATAAAAAGTACTGTGTCGTCTGCATAGAAAGAAAGAAGTATTTTCTGGGGAATATATGTGTCATCACTCAGTGGCTGGAGCCAGTTATTAATATTAAAATTATTATTCATATTAATATTTGTTGTGTTTTAATATTCTGTCTTCAGAATGAATAAACTGTTAAAGCTGAAAATATATGACTGTATTAGCACAAAGCACATACAGTATATACTACATATATATGTAGTGTATATATATATATATATTTGTACTACATATATGTATATTTGCAGTAGATATATACACTACATACATGTAGTGTATATATGTAGTATACATATATACACTGCATGTACAGTACAGTACAGTACAGTACAGTTGTGTGTGTGTGTGTCGGAGTTATCAGTGTAATACATTCATCTGTGATGATGGGTTTGAAGTCCAGCAGCAGTCAAACTGACTTTGGCTCCTCCCCCTCCAGACTCCTCCCCCTACATGTCTGCTGGCCCGGCCCACACTTGTTCCCTCACTCCAGTACTCTCTGCACGTGTACTAACACGTGCACATGGCTGTGGCGTGTGAAGTGGAGAGAGATTTAAAGACACGCAACCACACACACACACACACACACACACACTCTCTCTCTCTCTCTCTCTCTGCTGCACATTAATGAGTGGCTGAGAGAGAACTCTGATGATACTGTGGTGGAGGACACAGGTCACATGTCACTGCCTGTCAGAGCGACTCGTCAAACTCAGACCTTCGTTCTTTCTTCACCATCTTCTTCAAACACTTTAATTCAACGCAGTCACCAGTCACTATTTTTTAATCAGTGACAAGAACTCGGTTCTAAACAGTTCTTTCTGTCAATTGGACTCCAAACATTACTCACTTGTGGGTTCTAGTGTCATGTGTGTGCGTGGGGGTTCCGGGGGGGACGGGTGGGGGGGACTTACCGTGCAGACAGTCGGTTCCTCCTGCCAGGCTCTGTGGCTGAACAACCTCCAAACCAATCAGCGACGGGGAGGAAGAGGACGAGGGAGAGGAGGACGTGGAGCCAGGAGGAGATGAAGGTGGGAGGCACTGGGAACTCTGGCTGGGCACAGCTGACGGGGAACTCTGCGAGGGGATCTGGGCCGAACTGGAACTGTTGTTGTTGTGCATGCTGCCCATTCCGTTCTCCGTCAGAAACTCCTCCAAGTCCATGTACTGCAGCTGGAAAAGACTGCCGTCTGTGGGCAGGCTGCGATCCCACAGAGGTCCCAGGAACTGGTTGAAGGTTCCTCCTCCACTGCTGCCAGTGGGACCGCCAACCCCCGCGCAGCCGCCGCCGCCGCCGCCGCTGTTGTTAGCGCCGCTGCCTAGTCCACTGCCGCTCCTCATGGAGCAGACTCCCAGGGAGTCCTCGTCCAGGTCCAGTCGGTCCTTATCTGTCAGAGACACAGCCAGGTCAACGGTTGGTTGACGGTTGGTCGATGTTTGGTCGACGGTTGTTCAACGTTTGGTCAACGTTTGGTCAACGGTTGGTCGACGGTTGGTCAACGTTTGGTCAACGGTTGGTCGACGGTTGGTCAACGTTTGGTCAACGTTTGGTCAACGGTTGGTCAACGGTTGGTCAACGTTTGGTCAACGTTTGGTCAACGTTTGGTCAGGAATGTGGAAAATGAGGATTTTTAGAATGAAACTGTGAATGAACGCCAGGGCTGGAAATATAAGATTAACTGTTGTTGATTAAAGTATCTATACAGTACTACAGTACTACAGTAGCACAGTAGCACAGTACTACAGTAGCAAAGTACCACAGTACTACAGTAGCACAGTACTACAGTACGACTAAATGCTAACAGCTAACTAGTAGTGTTCATGGAGACAGCAGAGCCCAGACTGGAGGTGTGGGACGCAGCCCACACGCCAACACATCCATTAAAATGACCCATGATGCCAGTGTGTGAGTGCCTGTCACTCACCTTTGCCCTCACAGGGGGGTTTTAAACTCTGGTCCCCCTTCATGGGGTGCTGCAGCAGGGACTTCAGCCCCGCCATCGGGTTCAGATGGGTCCCTGTGAGCGAGCCCGCGGGCTGAGTACAACCTCCAAACTGTGGGCTGGCTCCTGCTGGCAGGTCGGGGGTCGGTAGTTGAGAGAGCTGCCTAGACATGGTAGACCAGATGGGGGCGCAGGATTAGATTAGACACCTGGCTGGGGCACTTGAAGGGGGCGAGGGAATCTGAGTGAAGCACCCACCGACGGGGCGAGTGCGCTGGGTGACACTGCAGGTGGAGAGAGGTGTTCATGGAGATGAATCAAGCACAGTTGCCACAGTGACCCCCGGTGTGAAACAGTCATAATGACACAACAGTCTTTAAAAAACAAAACAAAACACGTGCAACTTTTTACCTTTGTCTTGCAGCTGCGGACAATTCCTTATTTTCCTGCAGGAATCTTTTCCTCGAAGTATTCCATTGCAGCCATGTGTTGTTTGAAGTGTGCAGTGGAGCAGGCTGTTATTCTCAGAGGGCCAGTGTGGGAGGGACAGTCAGAACAACCGAGTGGGAGGGAAGAGTGTCCATAATATAATAACTACACAAAAACCCACGCAGAGAGGCTAAAAAGAAAGAAGAGACGAAGACGACGCAGAATGGAGGAAAGAAAAATGTCACTGACGAGCTCCTCGTCCGAAGTGTTGACAAAATCAAACAGTTGCGATGCAAAAAAAAAAAAAAGAAAAAAAAAAGAAATGTCGGACAAAACAGACAAGAAGACGGTGTGCGCAGAAAACAACAAACAAACAAACAAACAACGCCGAGCGACGACAGCGGCGGCCGAGTTGGTCAGATGACAAGTTGCATTGGTGTTTATCTCCTCTGCTGTCGGGCTCTGCTGTCCGTCAGCGGGAGAAGGAGGAGGAGGAGGAGGAGGAGGAGGGTGAGGAGCAGGAGGAGGAGGGGTAGTTTCCTCTTTCTCCCCCTGTACTTTTGTGGATCCACAGTCACTGGCGCACGGGCTCGGGTTTGTGTCTAGGCCGCGGGACGTCCACGTCCGACCGTCCTCTCTCACTCCTCACTCACCCTCTCTCCCTCTCTCCCTCTCAGCTGGAACGGACACGGGCAGTTTACGTGACGTCACGGCTGTACGAGAAAAAAAAAGCCAACGCAGGGTTGGGGAGGGGCGGAACCCTGTTTCCACTGATCCCCGGTGCTGCCGAGTCATTATTTATGAGACACACCTACACTCGTGCCACAGCTCGAGGAGCGGCAGCTGTTTGTTTGGTCAGGCTGACAGCTACAAACAGTGGCGTACACGGGTTGGTGTGTGTGCCGTACAACTCATGGCGCAGGGCCGTGTCAGCGGTGTGACGGCACTTCTCGTCCCCAGACCGAGTCAGTACCAAATATAACAGTTGTCATGTGGTGTTCCCTCGACCCTCAGCGGGTGCTGCGTGGCTTTTCCACTTCCCTCATAATCCACAGAAAACGTGAGTGTGCTGTTTTTTCACCGTGGCTTCAGCACGTTGCCTCCCGGCGTACAATAGCTGTTCCAGCTCACGTGGATGAGGCACGCGGAATCCAGGCCTAGATGCTCGCGGCTTTGACTCCCATTGGCCAACGCAAGTCGTGGCTCCACCCCTCGCGAGCGCCTATTAGTTAAAAGTAGGTCGGCTAACCTCTCCCGCTCGGATTGTCTGACTGCATGCTCCTGCCGCGTGAGACAAGTTCGAAACACAAAAGCGCGAGTGCCGTGTGATCTAGTGTACAGGTGCGGAGCACATGAGTCCACGGCCACGGCCGCCACTCAAGGACTGACGAGAACACAGCTGTGCGTCGTCACGACCGCGTTACTCTGCCCCGAGACCGAGACTGCGATGTTCCCACCAGAATAATACTGAATAATCCAACTGTTTTGTATCTTATCTATCAGCGGCCCGCCGTTCATTAGACGGTATGACGTCAGTGAAACGGTGGCGGTTCCAGATGATGGCGCCGCCCTATTTATTAGCTAATTAAAATCATTTTGTACGTTAAATTTAGAGTGCTTAAACAATTAGCGCAATAATCAATGACCGTTAATTATCTTTACCACACCTTAAAGAAGTCTAGTCTTTTAAACGTTACAGTGCACCTACTGGCCAGACTTAAAATTGCGCAGTGATCAGAAAGTTATTTTTTGTAATCAACTGTAACTTACCATATGTATCATTTCCTGTCGTAAAACTGGGTTAACCGTCTAGAACCAACTGTAAACCGGAGCGTGCACGTCTGGTTCTGGTTCTGTGTTTTTGTTTTTTTTACACGTCCACTACATCATGCAGACACGGAGGATTGACTGTTCACTGACCTGTGTGGACGAACACCGACTGACGGCCAATAACAACAGTTCTGTGACACTGATCAACTACAGGACAGAAAGGTTCCGATCACGGATCGGTGAAAGTGTGTGCTGTTTTGAACAGTTGATGTGAGGAAGTCCACGTCTGTTGGTGTGCAAATAAAACCTGTGAAACGATCGACTGTTAACGATCTGTCTACTGGTCATGTGACTGCTACACTTGTTCACAGCTGAGGAATACCGTGTCATGAATGAGATACTTACTGCCATCTCGTGGAAGTGAGTGGGAAGTTTCATGAAATCATTTCAAGGACAGGGACTATTTCAATTATTTTAAAAATTCATTATAATGCTAACCACAACTTCAAAAATGTCATCCACAGGATATGACGTCACAGGGTCGAGAGAGCTAAATATATTGTACCGTGTTTTTTCAACGTTGTCTAAGAAATGAAAGCAAAACTAATTAATACACTTAAGGTTTATTCATTTCTGAAATATAATCAACTACTGACTTCTCAGTAAATAATGATAGAAATGTACTAAAACTAGTATTTTCTCTAAAAGAAAAAAAAGGTTTGACATGGAAATGAACACTTTATATGTAAATAAGGTGAAATTCTTTAGAAGAAAAAAAAAAACACAAACAAGCTGGACAGTGAGAATATGATTGCAACTCAGCAAAAAAGGTTAAAGGAGGTTTAGTATAAGACTGGTATGAAACACACATAAATACGTGGAATAGTAGGTTAGCTTCTATGATTACGGGTCCTTTAACACACCAGGAAGTACTGTAAGAAATAATCACTGCTAAAAAGAGCATACAAAGAACGTGTTACAGTCACCGAGTTCAGTCTCTTGGTATAAAAGCTAGGGAATATCAAATAAATGCAGAAGGTGAACAGAACAGGAAAGGCTGTCAAACGAATGTTCATTTTGGCAGGAACACCATCCTTAAAATGCTAATCATCAGCGACGTTGACCTTTTATTTATACGTGATTAAATCACCGGGGTATTTATAGTAACTTCAAAATCAAGTGTTACACAACAAACGTCAGGGATTAATGAATAAAACACACGATATAGAAGTGATTTTACAACCTCGGCAAAAACCTCGACCAGAGAACAAACATGCAGCGACAAACTATCAACAAAGGTGTGTGTCCCCGTGTCCTCACTTCTAATAAATGCACTTTACGTTTAAAAAAGAAAAAGAAAATCCTTGGAGCCTCTACGTGAACGACAACTAGACAGAGTACACAGCAGACGGTTTTCATACAGCCAGAGTAGCAGGGAATCTACGGAGTGGGAGAGAGAGGGAGAGAGAGAGAGAGAGAGAGAGCTCTATGAGCAGGTCAGTGCACCTACACACTGGTCTAGGATCCGCACAGTGTCAGTCAAGCATAGTGTCAACGCACTTCAGGGGTTAATGATCCTACGCCAACAGTCACGTGTCTTTGAAGATGTCCTGGTGATATTGTACAGTAGTTGTTAACACACTCATTCTAACTGTCAGCAGAACAACACAACAGGCGCACGGAACCCACGGAGACGCTCCTTCCTGTCCCGGTTCTTCAGCCACAGTTCTGCGTTCTGCCCACAACACGCTCAGTACGTGTACGACTCCCGCGAGAGCGGCGTTGCATCCTGAGCTCCAGCGGTCCGTCTCTCGCCTGCTCTCTTTGACAGCCTCAGCCTCCGGCCGCCCCCCCGCTGCAGCCCCTTGGCCCTGCGGCGGCAGGACACCTTGTGCCTGTGAAGAAGGGTGGGATTCCAAAAACAAGCAGAGCAGCGTCGACAGGAAAAGGTCCCTCTGTCACGATGGGTGGCCCGGTGGATGAAGGCCGCCAGAGGTCTGCCAGACTGCCTCCCACACACGCTGCAGCCCAGTCGCTCCCGGGCGGTCGAGGCTTTCTGCGGGTGTTTGACAGCCATGTGGACAAGAAGACCCGCTTTGCGGGAAAACACGGAGTTGGGGCATAAAGGACAGCCGAAACATTTGACTGGGACTTTGAGAGCGGACAGGATCTGCGCCTTCATTCCAGCAGTTTTGACAAGCTTATAAGCACCGCCCCCTGATCCTTCTCCACGCCTAATGGTCAAACGAAGGGAGCCGGGTTTTTTTTCCGGCTGCCCTCTGATTGTACAACTTATCTTTCTCTTCTGTTTGCTTGCGTCATATCTGACTAAATCGTGGGGTTCCCTCCACTCTGTCCTGTCTGACTTTTTTTTTTTCTTCTTGTGGTGCCTTTTCTCATCGTGTAATGACTGGACGCTGCAGTCGAGTTGTTGCTGAGACTGCGGACCTGACTGATGATGAGAATGATGGTGGGAGTGATGGTGATGGTGATGCAGATGGTGATGTTCAGTGGAGGGCAGTTCCGTAAGAGGCTGGAATGGGGCTGTGGTGTGAAGCGTACGGCTACGGGATCCAGCTGGGTAAATGTGCTCTCCTTTGACCCCTGCTGGAGAGTGGGGGTGCTGCGGGGGCATGATTGTAGAATTTGGAGGTAGAGGCTGGGAGAAAGACGGCGCCGCCGCAGCATCGTAAAAGAGGGGAGAGTAACCAGCCGGAGGCTGTGGGGGGGGCTGCTGGTGGCTGTGGGTAACAACACTCAGACTCTCCCCTCCGTGGCTTTCTGTGGAGGGAGCCATCTGTAGCAGGACGTTGGTGGCGGCCTCGCTCTCCGAGGTGGACTGATTAACGTCGGCGCCACCTCTGTTGTCTCCAGAGCCGATGCCTTCTTGTTGGGCGCTCGGCTCGGCCCGGGTCATGCCGTGCTGCGACTGCCTGTGTCGGGTGAGGCTATTGGAGTAGGCAAAGGCTTTACCGCAAACTTCACAGGAAAACAGCTTTTCGCCGCCACTTTCGTGGACTGTTTGGTGATGAGCGGTCAGGTGGAAGTGATGGCGAAATGATTTCCAGCATATAGCGCAGGTGTAGAGGCGAGGAGGAGGTAGGGGTTGCGGGTGGGTCGGGGGCGGAGGCTGTGCCTGGGAATTGCTCTCTTGAGGTTTGATATCTTGAGGGTAGGAGTAATAGGAGGAGGTGCTCGGCGCTTGGTTCGGGCCCCGGTCTGGAGCCACGCTACATTGAGGGTTTGGGTTAAAGCTGTTAAGGTTTTCTGCAGCTGGTGTGGTGGGAACTTCTTCCAACTCTCCTTTCTGGTGGAGTTTGCTGTGCCTGCGGAGGCTCTGGGAGTAACCGAACTCTTTGCCACAAATGCTGCATTTGTAATTTTTTGCCCCAGAGTGCACGGTTTGATGCTTGCTCAGGTGAAAAGCCTCTCTAAAATACTTTCCGCAAATTGTGCAGTGATGAGGCTTTTCACCGGTGTGGATGCGGTCGTGTCTGCGTAGCGTCTCGCGACGTGCGAATCCCTTACCGCAGACGCTACAGAGGTGAGTGCGTGGCAGGCCGCTGGCCCCCGTTCTCGGGGTATACTGCCTACGCTTCGGCGGTCCCCCCGCCGCAGCGTCTTTCTTAGCTCTAGGTTTACGGGGCCGTTTGGGTTTGGAAGTGGCATTCTGTGGATTGGTGCTCATGGCCTCCTGACTTCCGCTACCTTTGAAATTCTTATCCATTCCAGCCGTGGACGAAGGTGGACCCAGGGGACCTAAACCAAGACCACCTAGCAGGCCTCCTATGATGTCTCCCCTATCGTCTCCTCTACTTCCACTGTTGTTAGCTGCCGTTATAGCAGAAATTGCATTATTGACCGAGCTAGTGACATCATCCTCTGAATCATCCAGTAGAGAAGAGAGGGGCAGGTGAGGGTGCTGCTGCAGGTGATGGTGCTGGCTGTGGCTCTGTGAGTGTGGATGCAGTGTCGGGGCCAAGGGTGCCTTTCTCAGAGCTGGTCCTGCCATCCCACTTCCACAGGGGGAGGCACCAGAGTAGCACGGAGATGGGTTACCTTGAGATCGATGGTCATCGTGGTAGCCTGTGTAACGATTCCGAGAGTAGTCAGTGGGGTATTTACCATCTGTTCTGTCCCTGTCATTTGAATCCCCTCCCCTTCCAGACTGAAACAGACCTTCACAACCTAACCTCGACTTTGGCTCTCCTTCCCCCACAACGATAACACCTTCCTCTTCCTCAGTTTTTCCATAAATAACCCCCCTATTGCTATGACAAGTCCCCCCTCCTCCTCCTCCGTTACCTCCTCCGCCCCCTGCCCTGACTCTGTCCTCTCCATCGTTTCCTGACTTGCTTCCCCGTTGTTTGGGTCCCCTACCTGGCTTGCCGCAGGTGCCCGAGGCAGCGTGGTTGAGAAGAGATGTGCTTTCACGGAAGGCACGACCACAAGCGGGACATCTGAACGGCTTTTCCTCATGTATCTTCTCGTGGCGCGTCAGTGACTCCCTACGGTTAAAAGCCCGAGAGCAGGTGGGGCAGCCATATGGGCGGGCAGAAGAGTGTATAACACCGTGTTGGAGAAGGTGCCCTTTTTTCTTAAAGCCTTTGCCACACTCAGGGCAATGGAATAATTTGTCTGGGCTAGGACAAGAGTTAGATGTAGGCTGAATACTTTCTTGGGTTGAATGGGGAAGGCTGGGATCAGACTGTGTCTTAATGTGGACAGGGTTCGGGCCAGTAGTGGCTGTATTGCTAGTACCTGCTGCGGTCGGCTCATGCATGCGTAAATGCCTGCGGAGGCTTGAAAGATGAGGAAAGCTTTTGCCACACTCCCCACAGCTGTAAACAGACTCAGTGCAGTTGTCGTGCAGTGAGCCGGGGTTATCAGATTTAGGAAGGTGAGAATCATTGGTAACTAGTACTGAGGCAGCAGTGGAAGAGGGAGCAGAAGAGGAAGAGGAAGAAACTACAGATGATGATGACGACGATGAAGAAGCAAGAATGGACGACGGGTCTCCGGCGATATTTGACATTCCCACCCCGCTCCCAATTAAAGCCGGCGGCTGACCGTGACTAAGAGCTGCACCACTGCCACTGGAGTGACCGCTGTGCCCATGAGCACTGGTACTATTACTACTGCTGTCAGACTTCCTCTGAGGCAGATACCCCGCCATGGCCTTCTTCCTCCTGCTGCTGCTGCCGCCGCCGCCACCTGCGGTGGCTTCCCCTTTACCGTCATCTTTTGACAATGACAAATGTAAGGGTAAGGGGAGGGGCAAACCCGCTTCCTGCTGCATTAAAGAGGCTATCTGATTCGACGAAAGAACCGGGATCCCCTGGAAGTCGAAGCCACTGAGGGACGAGGGTTGCGAAGCTGCGTGAAGAGGATGGTGAGGGTGAGAATGAGGGTGAGAAAGGGTGTGAGGTGGAAGCTGCTGCTGCGGAGGCTGCTGCGGGTTCTGCTGCGCCTGACCATGAGAATGAGAAGAATGCAAAGCAGGAGGTGGAGCAAGACTGGTACTAGGCTCTGCAACTGACTGACTCAACCCGATCCCTAAGTGGTTGTGAGTTCCCTGCTGAACAAGAAATTGCTCTAAGCTAGCATTAGCAGGCACTCCAGAAAGGAAATACTGATTAGCAGCCAACATGCAACTGAACTGTTGGTGAAGGCTCCGTGCATCGGACTGGGCCCCGACTAACTGGTGACCCAATGAGTTGACCGCACTGCTGCTGGAAGAGTGGTTAGAGTTGGCCACAGAGGTCGAAGGGGACGGAGAGGAGGAAGAGGGACCAGGGGACGCCTGGGGGACAGAAAGGCCGGGATGAAGAGGAGGAGGTGCCGGAGGTGCCGGTGTCACTAACCCTCCTAAACCCCCCGCACTCCCACTACTGCCACCCCCCCCTGCAAAGTGCTCAAAGCGTCCTACACCCGGGTGTAACTGCTCCTGTGCTAGCGCTGCCTCAGCAGGGTGGAAAGAGCGCAGGAACTGTGGGTAGCCTGAAGAATGGCTCGAGCTGCTGCTGCTCATCTTGCTGGACTTTGAACGAGAGCTTTGAGATGAAGAAGGCTGTTGTTGTAAAGGTGGAGGAGGAGGAGGAGGAGGGGCACTCATCTTGGCAAAAATGGAGGCAGAATCAGAAAAGGCGTTACCTCTAGTCCCCTGCAGAGGGCCCAAGCCAAGTCCAGACAGAAGAGCTCCAGAAGACTCAGCCTGCTGCTGCTGCTGCTGCTGGAGCTGGTGCTGGTGAAGTTGCACTTGCTGTTGATGCTGGAGTTGTCGATCTAAACCAAGGCCTTTGAACTGGTGGGCCTGATGCCCACTTAACATTTCTATAATGTCCAAATTGTATTTTCCAAATTGGAACATTTCCCACTCACTGGCACATTGGGTGCGGGGGTCCCCGTCAACAATGATCCCAGTACTGACTGACGAGAAACTTTAATTTAGCTGGAGCTTTGCCTTCGCTCTACAACTACTAGCATGTCACCTCGAATTTAAAGTCGAGTCTTCTGTGCTAACTATAACATCCTCTGACCACACTTTACTTCCAATACAAGTCAGGTAGTCAGTATATAGCAGACTTATTTCAATTATGTTTAATAGCCTTATTAAGAAGCAGATGAAATGGCTTCTTCTTTTTGCCTTTGAGTTACAGCAGTTATTCCGTCATCTAAGCAAGTGTCCTCGTCTGAGCAGCCGCGCAGATCCTAAAGCTGAAAAATAGAACAGAATTCAAACAGACACAGAAGTCACAGAGGCTAAAAGGACCATGAGGTTCACTAGAGCACTCTGAGCCAACCACCAGGTTCTTCCAAACCAAACCGAGCTACATGACGTCAGTAGAATATTAACTGTTAGTTACAGGACTAGTCTCTTGTTGTAATGAGATTTTTAATGAAGGAAACTACTTGGACTTCTTTATTCCCGTCGTGGAAATATTCTCTGCTGCAGTTACTTTCTTTGTTTTCATTTAGACCAACTAGCTGTGAATAAATCCAAGTATTTCTCCTTTAACAGATGGTTAGGGTTAAAAACTCCCCTCGTGTCACAATCAGAAGAAAGTTTCACCTAAAAGGTTTGTCAACTAAACTCCTAGGGCGACGTTAAACCAGGTAACTATTAGATATTAAACATTAACTGAAGTACTCCTTACACTGATGCAGTACTCCTCACACTGAAGCAGTACTCCTCACACTGAAGCAGTATTCCTTACACTGTACTCCTTACACTGATGCAGTACACTGTTGTAGTGCAGTCAGGTCACAAAAGTACAACAAACGCTGTGGCTCAGTGGGCCTCGCGAGAGTGGGCCTCGCGACAGTGGGCATCACGAGAGTGGGCATCACGAGAGTGGGCATCACGAGATTGGGCATCACGAGATTGGGCATCACGAGATTGTGGGCATCACGAGATTGGGCCTCACGACAGTGGGCCTCACGACAGTGGGCCTCACGACAGTGGGCCTCACGACAGTGGGCCTCACGACAGTGGGCCTCACGACAGTGGGCCTCACGACAGTGGGCCTCACGACAGTGGGCCTCACGACAGTGGGCCTCACGACAGTGGGCATCACGACAGTGGGCCTCACGACAGTGGGCCTCACGACAGTGGGCACATCCCCTCCTAGCTGCCTACTTCTGATCCTGACAGGGTCATTGGTGACACGCGGTGCCCGGCCTCCCATTGGATGATCAGTCTGTCCATTCCACTAATCATGTTAGAGCTCTATGGAGCTCAGATCAGGAATGTTCCAGTCAATATTCCAAGAGTTTTTACCTGTGGTTAGTGTTAAACTGGAGCTGAGGGAACAGGACGTGGCGGTCGGACTGATTTGTAGAAGACGGAATTATTATTTTCAAGAAACAAGTCTTTGTTTTCATTTTCAGAGTCCGATTTAGTCACCGACTTGTTGACATTTATTTGACATGTTTTATCACCCAGTCCTCACCTTATTCTAACAACAACATACATATATATATTATATATATTTAACCATATATAACAATGGTATAATTAGATAATTAATAATAATTGAGATTGCCATCAACAATAATTACTTACTAACACTAAACCATCTACTTTTACTAACCGACTAAACGACTAACTCTAAGTCAGTTGTTATTCCTGTTTGTGTTCGACTGTTCATTGGTTTTTACTGTTGTTTTGTTGCTCAGTAACAAAGTTGTCTGAATGTAAATGTTGCTTCTGGAGCTGTGACATCTTACTGGGTTTACTACAGTACTACTACAGTACTACTACAGTATGATTAAAGGGATCAGATAGATGTTGAGGTTGTGATGGTGGATTCTGGAGAAGTTGGAACATGTCAGATGTTCCACCCGCCAACCGGTGTCACATGCAGCAGCAGCAGCAACATTTACTTTTCAATCTGGGTTTTGCTCACCTCTTCCAAACTTACCGTTTCCTCTAATCGCTGCGAAGAAGCCGGAGTGGAGTGAGCGTCCCCGGCAGATGACGGAGATTTTCTATGGCATGTGTGACTGCCGTTCATTTTAATGTAAATCAGCGATCCTGAAAGGTGGGAAGAGAAAGGCGGACAGCCATAGCATCATTACGATCATCGCCAATGTAAACACCAGACACACAGTAATAACGGACGCACTTAAGGCGGCGTAGATCCGCTAACATTTGGAGGAAAGGGACAACATTTGGATGCTGAAGTTCACGGCTCACATTAGTACCACGGTCACAACGACTCGTTGTTCGCAGTAGTCGGTGCCTCGCGGAACCGTGAAAAGCACACAGCGCGGCCGCTAACGTTAGCCATAAATGTAAAGCACGGTAATAAAAGCATAAGAGCGCCATGCTAGCGTTAGCAGATACGTCTGCCTACGCTATATTCAGCAAGTGTTTACCTACGCATCCAGTGGCCGAGCAGGTTTTGCAGATGGATGCGGCCTGTCACGCCTTCTTCTGCCGCTTGTGCTTCTTGTTCTCGACGCCTAGCTAACAGTGAGCGCTTCCATTTCTTCGTGCCGTTTTCCTGTCGTTAGCCACAGCCATTTTCAACGAGGCCGAGCCGAGCGCTGACGCTTTACACCGAGCCTCTGAGAATCACCAAAGCCTCCTTGTCCACAGTTCACGTCGCTTGCGCGGTTTCGACGGCCGAGAGGGATTTGGATGGTCGGTGTAATATTTTTGGGTAAAAGTGAGTGACGTGTGCTCCCTTAACACTGGTCCTTTCCGGCCCTTGTAACGTTTCCGGGTGGCACCAGCGGGGCTCACGGCACAGAGTCGCCGTTTGGTTACATTCACACTGAAAACCAGGGTCTTCGTCCACAAACTAGTGGTGAACTCGGCTCACGTCAGTAACACGGTCCAGTCCACAGTGATCCGGGTCACATTTAGAACCAGGATCAGCTTTACTGGCCAAGATTGTTGACAAAAACATGCAGCTCAAACGACCACGATGTTAAAACACAAGCATAAACGTAAACAACAAACACAGTAAATGAGAAAAGTATTAAAAGGAAATAAACGAGAGTCAAACTCTGAGTATGACTGACAGAAGTCGTTAACATTTCAGAATAAATGACAGCTGAGCGTTAATGACAGAACGAGTCCGTTCCTTTAGCACGAATGATTATTGACGGACTTCTGTTCTAAATATGACATTATTCAACAACGTTATTTATAAAAAATAACGTAAAACAGTAACTCCATATACTGTTGATCTGGGAATTACACGTGAAGTTCTGTTGATCTTGAACTGCCGTAGTTGCACCATGTTGTTTATCCACACGTAGAACACTTTTAAAGTTCACTTTTAAATGCATGAGAAGTCACTGACAGGTCAGTGGAACAGAAGAAATCCTTCACGGCCGGAGTTGAATTCTTTTTTAATAATATCAACAAAACACATTACATATTTTCAACTCTCAACATCAGATTTTCAACAAACCTAAATGGAAACTGAGCTTTGTAAGAAGTTTGACTATGATCCTATACAACAACGGTGTGTGTGTGTGTGTGTGTGTGTGTAACTGACGTCCTCAGGTTGGTTCTGTGAACTGAGGTTCTGTTCTGACGCCACACACTCGAACCTGTCACTTTGGGTTTTTTTCTTCTAAAGATAAACTTGATATTTTTATTGTTATTTTGTTATGAACAGAAATATAGTTATTTTAGTAACTATTTTCAATTGTCTATATATATACACGTATGTGTATATATATAATTATATATAATTGGTTTTCAAGGTAAAATAGCAGGTAGCCTTGATGATAATTAAAAAGACAAATTCAACTTTTAGTCCTAACATTTAACTGTGGTTCTTGTTCTAACATGGTCACTTTTTAAAGGTATTGAAATGGATCAGATGAGGTGTCGTCATCTACGTACAGCTGCTGATACAGTTCATAGCCTTGTCAACTGAAGTTCTTATAAATATATAAATATATAAAAGTGGCTTTATCGTCACGTAATACAGAAGAGAAAAAAACAACATTTCTCCCACCAACTTTATTGTACAAATTCACTGCTGTATCCAAGGGGATTGTTGCATGATAGAATACCCAAAAATACTTTATAACCATGAAAATAAATCCATTAGATCCGTTAGAGGGCGCTGTCGGTCACAATAGAATTGATTGACTTTTCTTGTGGACTTTTACAATTCTCTCTTTCTCCATATTAATGACCCCCCCCCCCCCCCCACCTACACACACACACACATCCTTTCATTTCTTTCTGAACTCACTTCTGTCTGTGTGTGTTACTGTTCAGTGGTGAAAAACTCCCAGCCCCACAGTCCTGTAGGGGGAGCTATGACAATAGCAAAACAACAAAAGGCTATTTTTAGTTTCTGGTACTAAACAATTCATTTGATACTGGCACAGAATTAGTCCAACCCTCAAATCAAAGCTGAGGAGACCACTGAAAATATTCCGATTGTACTAGCTATACAAAATACAATACTTGCACAAATGAAATGTCATTTCTAAAGTCCGATGAGCGTGGATGAGTATGGCTTGTGAGTTGTCACAGACTTTGCTACAGACCTTTTGTGGCTCTTAAAAAAGAAGAAGAAAAAAAAAAAGTCCTAATTCCCTGAAAGACTGAGTGTGAGGCTGTCGTCAGAGCACAGTTTGAAGCTTTTCGCCAAATTTGTCATAAACATTGAACCGAACACACATGTATTATGACATTGAGTTCTGTCTTTTTGTGTACGGGTCCAGGACAGTAGTTTGGTAGAACATTTATCATCGGTTCAGAAGACTGAAGACTATCAAATAGGTACTTTCAGGAAACACCGATTGTTTATCGTAAAACACAAGTCCACGTCCACACGCACGGACAGCTGGTACAGCTGGTACAGCTGGTACAGCTGGTACAGCTGGAAACTGATGAGCTGAATGAAGTGGAACTGGCATGCATCCAGGTCTGGACCTGGTCTGGACCAAATGAATGACGTCATGAGGTTGTCTTATCTAAAACAACAAACACTAAAGTCCCACCAAGTAAAAGAACATCACATCATAATATAATTGTTAATAATAACCAGAACAGTTAGAGTAACCACTGATAATAACACGCCATCATATTCAGAACAACTACATTGAGCAACTGTGCAGAGGAAGAGTTCTGAGGATGAGTTCTGTCTTCCTGGTTCCATCCAACGTCTGTTGACAAACTCTCAGCGGTGACGCGTCTCTTCTCTGACCTCTGACCTCTGAAGTGTGTCCATCATCTCACTACCTCCACTGACCCACTCAGTACCGATCTGTCAAACCTCAGGGTTTGTGCCTGGTGCAAATATC